GGGGACGGATCCGGGGCAGGCGGCGAGGGGGCGTGCCCCCACTTAATTCATTAAAATGTGTCGGAGAGCGTGGGAAAGACGGGAGCTTTTCTTCCCAGCGCAGAGCCGCAGCGAAAGGCGTGCGAGGGAGAGCGCCCTCCCCGCCCGGCTCCCCGGAGCCGGAGGAAGCGCGGAGGTTTCCTCCGCCGCTGGCCACGCCGGCGCTTCGCCTCCGGGCTGTTTGGCAAAGCGGCTGTCAGAGCCCCGACGGGGAAAGCCGGGGCTCGGCCAGTGCCGCCTGCCCCACCGCGGAGATGTGGGGTGCGGGGATGCAGGGAGCCCAGCCGGGGCTGTGGCTGCTGCGTGGGAACAGCCTCCCTTGTGCGGATTCACCTCTGGGGACAAGAAAGGGGATCCCTGTGGGGATGAGGTGGGGAAGAGGTCGAGGGGGGTCTCAGGGGACACCTGTCTTCCCTGTGGTCTGAGAGCTGCACAAGCAGGGGCGTGGCCATGGGACTGGCCTCATGCTCTCCCCATGGACATGTCACACACCAGGAGCCTTCGGTGGCACCCAGACTGTGCCTGGGTGGGCTGGGACCTTGCCAGCCCTTCAGGCAGAGCTCCTGAGGCCAGAGCTGGGGGTTTGCAAGGGAAACCTCATGCTCTTGCAGTGAAGACGTGTGGGTGCCCTGTCTCCTCTGCAGGGAGCACAGCACCACAAGGAAAGCTCTCATGAGTGGTTTGGGAAGTTCTGTGGACAAGGGCATCCTCCTGGGACTCCCACACCACAGGGGCCACTGCAGGAACATGGTCTGGGGACTGCCACTTCCCACGGATGTCACTGTAGATGCTGTTCTGCATGGTCCCTCCCAGCCTGGAACAAACAGGGTTTAAAACCTGAGTGAGACTCATAACACTACACGTCGTTATTGTCCTCTGGGGAGCACACAGGCAGGGGTGTCCCTGGGCTGGAGGATGTGGTGCTGTGCTGTACAGTTTGGGTTATCTTACTGCAGCTTGGCCTTTAACCACTCCAGTGCCCTGTCTTGTTAGTCCTTATCCTGCTGGAAATGCTGCAGCTCTTCTGAGGTAGCCTATGGTCTTGGTGTCTGACAGCACAAAAATGCTCCAGGAGCAAAAGGCCACCAGCTGGGACATATTTGGAGCTGGAGAATTCCTGCCTGGTGCCACAGGCAGGGATCTCGAGCTACACCAGTGTCTCAGCACTGCCAGGCCATGCCGAGGCATCCCCTTGAGTGATGTCCCTGTGGGATTGAGCACACGTTCTCCAAACTGCCATGGCTCCAACCTGTGTTCTGCTACACTGACACCATCACGTTCCCCTGACCTGGTGTGCTGGCAGCTGCTTGTGGAGCTTCTGGTCCTGGAAAACTGGCACATGGAAGGACCATATCTTCACTTTGCAGGTGCTGATAGAGTTGGTTGGAGACACAGACCTTGGTTTTATGTGCCCTGGACCAGCCTTCCTGCCTTTGGGCCATAATTATTTTATCCTGGATCATCTGAATGAGCTCTAGGAATGAATCCAGTGTCAGTGCAGGGTTTTGGTGCCAGGAAATTGCCATCTCTTGAGACACATGGTTCTTGGGGCCACTTACCACAGAATCACAGACTGGTTTGGGTTGGAAGTGATCTTTAAAACTCATCACACCCCCTTCCACGGGCAGGGACACCTTCCACTATCCCAGGCTGCTCCAAGCCCTGTCCAACCTGGCTTTGGACACTTCTAGTGATCCAGGGGCAACCTCTGGGCAATCTGGTTGCACCACCACGTGGTTGCACTGCATGGCCACTCCTTTGTGGGTGACTGCGGGATGGGGCTATGTCACCCCACTGCTCCCACTGCACAGTTCCCCCAGAAGACTCATTACAGCCCACCAGGACTGGACTCTGTACGTGCTGACTGCTCTGTGGGGACAGCCCTGGGATCTAAGCAGGCTTGGGGGTGACACGGCCACAGTCCCCATGGGACACACGCCTGGTGAGTAATAGAAGTTCATTTGCCTAAGGGTCATGCCCACATATTGGCAGGTTGATGGGAAAGGTCTGGTCCCAGGCTATTCCCCAGGGAGCAAATGTCCCCTGATTGATGCAGATGTCTCTCCTCCATGGGACATCTCTCTCCTCTCCCCTCACTGTGAGCAGTGACCCTGCCCTGTGGCAGCAGAATTCCCGTGGTGTGGGGCAGCACAAGGGCTGGAGCTCACAGCCAGCTCGGGCTGGATCTGTATCCAAAACCACACAGGTTTGTTTGAAAATGGCAGCCAAGCAACTGGGAGCTCAATTGGAGCATCCAGCTGGAAGAGCGGCTCCAGGATGAGGATGGGCAGTGATACAGCCCGTCCTCCTCCTCCTCCCGTGCCTTGCTGGCTGCCTTAGGGACCAACCAGCCCTAGTTCAAGGCACAAAGTCATGCCAGGGAACACTGAGCTGATTTCTGTGAGCCGGTCAAATATGTGGTGAGGTTTCCGCTCCAGATTACAGGAGGAAGGAAGTTTGCTCGGAAGGGGATGGGGATAAGGTGGGGGAGAAGGGAGGGAAGTGCATTCCTGCCTGATGAGGAACAATGTTGATATATTCATTTGTAAACTAAAGCTGGCCTGAGTGTCAAACACCTTGTCCCCGTCAAACTCTGAAGGATGTGTGGGAGTACACAAGGAGAGGAGAGGAACTGTCTGACATCCGATGCAGCGTGTGGTTTCCCAGGGCTGAGGGATAGACGCTGCTCAGCCAGATCTCATTCATGATAAAGAGCAATAAAAACCTTCCTCAGTGCTGTTTTATCCCAGGGTCCCCTCACACATCCTGTCACGCAAAGGCAGGAGCTGAGCACAGGTGAAGCAGATCCAGGGGCTCTGGAGTGGGCAGCCCACCCAGAGCACTCATCCCTGCCACAGCACTGCTGGAGCTGCCCTTCCCATGCAGGATCAAACGGCTCCATAAAACCAAGGAGGGCTCATTACTGCCCTAATAAATGCTAAACACTAGTATGACACAGACAATGGGATTTTGTAATTATTTTTTTTTTAAGCAGCCAGATAAGGAAACAATATTGTAGGCTGATTAGAAAACTGCTTTAATTCCCTTTGATATGCATCCACCATTCAAAACTGGACAATTTATTACCTCCTGGATGCTCCTCAAGGCTAATCTGATGTGGAATTTGCTGTTGGCCGTGTCTATGATTGGAGATGACCTTGCTGCATACTTCCTACCACAGCACCACCTCCTGTGGGCAGCAGAAAGGAAGAGGTGCTGTGCTGGGTCCCAGCCACTGCTCCTGTCTCCAGGAGCTGGACAGAATCCTCTAGGAGCTGTTTTGTGCCATGTCCACAGGTACACACCACTTGCTGGATTCTGCCCTGGGTTGGTGTCCTAGAACAAGTCCCAGCCATGGGACCCTGCCCTAGCACAGCCCTGACTGTAAGCACAAGAGCTCACCCCTAAACTGGGAGAGCTCTCAAGCAGATAAAATCCTGGAGTTGACCAGGAGGTGACCCTACTGTCCCCAGGGATCAGAGGGAAAGGCACCTTCTAGGCAGCTGTCCCCAGGTGAGGGACAGGGCCATGTGTCCCCATCTCGTGTGAGCTCCCCTCCACAGCAGAAGCAGTGGCAGACTAATGTGAAACCACAGCTCTGGAAAACCCAGCAAGCAAAGGCCAGAAGTGCCCAGGAATGGTCAGATGTGCATGTGGCTCAGCAGCTTCCTCTAAACAGGACCTGGAAAGGTTAATCCCATTTTGGAGAGTTTTATTTCATGGCATGACCAAGCAGAACACACTGTGGGGGCCAGCAGTTGGAGGCTCTGCATCATTCCTGCTTTGCCTCATCCCCAGTTTTTGCCCTCCCAGAAGAAACCCCGAAGAAGCAGGATGCTGACACAAGGATGAGTCTGTGTGGAGCCTGAGGGGCTTGGGCTGCTCAGTGCCCCGTACTGGCAGTGTGGGAATGGTTGCCTTTTAGGGTCACTTGTACCAATTAATGCTCAGGCATTAATATTGTGGATCTTATGGAAAAGTAGAATATTTAAAATGGAAAAATGATGTGTTTCTTTTATTAAAGCATTGAACCAGAGGGTGAGATATCCCTGGGAGGAAGGAGGCCCTGGCACCATGTGGCCAGGACCTTTGGCAGAGGGAAAATGAGTCCTGCACTGCAGCATGAGCAGCATGAGGTGCATGAGCAGGTGCTTTGCTAGCTCATAAATGTCACACCTCAGCCAAGAGCTCCTCAGGCCCTCTCAAATAACAGCAGGGCCTGGCAGTTAAAACAGATTAGAGGAGGAATTTTGCAGATGCTCCTCTGTTCAGGATGGAATGGTGTGAGCCTGGCCATGGATCAGGAGGCACTGGACAGCAGCCCCCTGGAGCTGCAGGACCTGGCTGGGATCTCCATGGTGAGATGCAGCCTCCTCTGGCCAGTCCCACCACAGATGGCAGTTCCTGGTATTAGTGGGCCCACACCATATTGCCTCTCCTGTGCACCCTGCACAGAGCCTGGCACGGGGCTCTGCTGAGGCGCCTCCCCAGGGCAGGAGGAGGCTGGCAGCTCTGGCACCAGTGGAACCCCCCCAGGACCAGCCTGGCCCTGCTGGGACATCCCAGGCTGCAGCACAGGGGGTGCAGGTGCCACTGGGCATTGTGGTGCACCCAGAGATTTCCCTGAGCCCAGCAATGCTCAGCCTCCCCAGACCTCCACTCCTGCGCCCACCAGCTGCCTCCAAGGAGTGCTGGGAGCACAGGGTCAGGGTGAGAGGATGCTGGGGATGGGTTGAGGCTTGGCACATGTCCCACAGGCTGGGAGTGCTCAGGATGCTCTCTGCCCTGTGCTGCTGTTGGGGATGCAGCTCCTGCTCCCCATGAGTGAGTGGGCAGAGGGGCACTGGGGTGTGTGGGTGTGGTGGGATTGGCACTGCTGGGGCGGTGCTTTTGTTCAGCAGAGCCCTCCCACCATCTCACCATGTGTAATTTGGAGAGGAGCAGAAATAAAGCAAAGGGTCCATTCTTCAGCCACCTCTGCTTTAATGATCTCATAGAGGCCATGTATTTTTGGGCTGTTGCAAACCACTGGTGCACCTGTGACAGTGCTCTCCATGATGGATCCCAAAATGAGAGCTCCTACCTCCCCACTTTCAGACTCTCTCTGGAAACCCAGGACCCAAAATCTGCTGAGGTTCCCCAGGCAGTCCCAGTTCCCCTGTGGAGCCCCCGTGCTTCTCCTCAGCTCAGCTCAGCTCAGCTCAGCTCAGCTCAGCTCATAGATGCTCTGTGTGTCCCTAGAGGCCACAAGAACATCCTCAAACTGGGACACAATGTGTCCAAAATGGGATCCTTCCCAAAACACTTTCCCACAGCAGGTGCAGCAGTAGAAGTCGGTGAGCTCTGCTCTGTCCAGCACCCCGGGGGGGATAGCAGTGACCTGCAGGACCGTGTCTCCTGCCAGCACCGGGGCTGCCCCGCACTGCTCCATCCCCTCTGCCCGCTCGCTGTGTGGGGTGCAGCCAGGATGGGCTGTGTCACAGACTGGCCCAGTGGCACTGCAGCTCTGGCTCCCTGGGCAGCCTGTGGAGAGAGGAGACAGCAGATAAACCACCAGTCACTGGTGTGATGAGTGGAATCTGTGCTTAACCACGTGAGCGACCTTGTCATCGCTGCAGGGATCCAGGCTCTGTCCTGCATCCCAGGGAGCAGCATCTCCTCAGCTCAGGAGAAGGTGGTTGGTCACCACATCCAGCAGCTGCCTGCCCTAAGCATGGCACCCGTGCAGCCACTTGCTCCCCTGCAGCCTCCTGGCACCTCCTGAGTTCCTTCGCTGTGTCTTGGGGTCTGTTCCAGTCTGGGTAATGGCTCCAGTGCTGCTGCTGTTCTGGGGGCGCTGGTTTTGCCCCCAGGTCACAGGTCAGGCCGGGCTGCCCTGGGAGGGGGCTGTGCCCCCACCCCCGGCTGCGTTATGGGGCAGACAAGCAGCAGGGAAACCCCCACTGCAGTTTAACCAAACCGCCACCGCGATCAGCTGCTCACGAGTGCCCGAGCCTGCCCGCGGACACGGGGCTTTGGGCCCCATCCCCAGTGTGTGACCCCCCCAGGTACCCTGGGCAAGGGGCACGGTGACAGGGGCCGCGTCCCCCGGCTGTCCCGCACGGCCCGGCCCGGGGGCTCGCACACGGCGGGGGCACGGCCGCGCTCCGGGTCCGGGCGGCGGAGGGCGAGGGCTGAGCTGCCTCCCATCCATCAGGGAGCCTGGCAGCCGGGAACAGGCTGCAGTTGTTGCTGCGGGATGTCCCCGTTTTGGCAGGGGGATCTGTTCTGCTCAGGCACCAATTAAGACAACAAAAGGCATCCGGCATCGCTCTAGCGACACTTCTGGGGTGTCCACCCGACCCTTTTCAGAATCATAGGGACCCTGTCAGGAGCCAGCTGGGACAGAGAGGGACACCAGCATTCCCAGCTGGTCCTTCCCTGCATTCCAGAGCCGCCAGGAGGTGGGACATGCTGGGGATTACCGTGGGGGAACGCACGGCTGGGAACAGCCCTGAAGCGGCCATCCCATCCTGGGAGAGCTGTCCTGTCCTGGCAGAGTCACCCCTCAGCTGTGCAGCGGGGTCTGGGCCTGCCCATCGCACGAGCAGAAAGAGCCACAGCCCGGGGGAGGTGTGGAAGGATCAGCTCACACCAGCCCCTGGTTCAGGGGGGTTCCCCAGACCCCCCCCTCCCCAAACCTTCCACACCTCCCTAGGACAGATTACCAGCCCGAGCCGCTGGGGCACGGTCACCCCCAGTTCCCAGCACACCATCAGCCATGCCCAGGGTCATGGCTGTCACTGCGGATGTTCTCACGGGGGACTTGCAGGCCAGCCCTTCACCCCCACATTGCCCAGCAGCAGCACTAGTTTGGGGTTTGCTGCCACAGCACAAAGGGAAGCAGCCCCAAGCCCCAACTGAGACACTGGGCAAGAGCTGGGTTCACCAGGGCTGTGCCCTGAACAAGTGCCCCATGGCCTCACTCATGGATGGGCCTTTCCTTCACCCCCTGTATCTGCTTTGGACAGACATTTATCCTTAAAGGGAAAACAGTGACCTCAATTTCCCATTTTCTCCAATTTCTGGCAAGTGTTGAAACACCCAGGTTGCTCTCGGGAGATTCCTGAGCCACCCAGAGCAGGGATGTGGAGGAGGAGTCCATTTCCCAGGGGTTTCTCCAGGATAAAGCCGGCCAGCGGGTGGCAGATCCCCAAGGCAAGAACAGCGGCTCTGTCCTCACCCTGTTCCCACCCTCCTCTGCCCTGTGCCACTTTTGTGTTTGGTGGTATGGGGTGGCCTCAGCCTGGGCACCCTTTTTTCTCCTATCCTCTCTGCTCTCGAGCACCAGACCCTGAAGGGAGGGACATCAACCTTGGGTGGGACTTTTAGATCCAATGTGATGGAAATGACACTGACAGCATGCAGCACCCCTGGCCAACAGCTTTTCCCATCATGGACCCTAAAATTTCCCTGGCCAGAACATGGTACTAGCACACTGACAGGACACTCACATTCCGTGTGCCTGCAGGGATACTGAGTAATTTGCTCTCTCTTCCATCACGCTCCCTCCACTGTCCTGCTGCTGGTGGGCAAAGCCAATGGCAAACCCCTCCTTCCCTGCACAGGGGGATGGGAAACCTCCAGCTCCCCCAAACACTCCAATCCCACCCCCTGGGCTCGTGGGAAAAAGGCAGGCAGGGAGGGAAAGTTCATCCCTTAAAAGCCTGAGGAGAGAAAGGCCGTGATGGTCACCCTGTAGTTTTGCCTTTGCTTGCACCAGCCCCCTCCTAATTGTGGCTCTTCAAAGGGTTGAAAATGCTACATCACTTCAAAGTGACCATTTCTGAATGGGAGCTTGTAAAACCCCTTCTCCCCCTCCCACCAAATTCTTCCCAGGGCTTTTGAAGATGCCTGTGCTCCCCTCACCGACAGGGTGAAAGGGCCACCAGGCGCCAGGCACAGGATGCCAGCCGGGCACGCGGGAAAACTGACCTGGGAAAGGCTGGATCCCCCCAGAAAAACAGGGGTTTGCAGGGGGAAGGTGGGAGGGGCTTGAGGGAGAGTTTTTTCTTCCCTTTCAGACAGGCAGAGGCCTCCCCAGTGGAGCCACGGCTCTCTTGGGACTGCATCCCAGCTTGCCTGGATGCTGCACAGCCCGGAGTTACACCAGAGATGGAGCAAAAGGCATGTGTAGGGGGCATGGGGCCACAGGGAGCCCAGGGTATCTTTCCAGTGTGCCGGGAGCTTGTCAGATCTGTGGCTTCCAGAGCTCTGAGAGGTTCACACCAAAGGCTGGATTCCCACCCCATCCCCGTGGAGGAGAAAAAGAAAGCAATTCCTTACCAAATTGATTCGAAACACTTCTTGGGAACTAATAATCCCATTATAAAACATCTTGAAAATAAAAACCCCTTTGCCTTTCACTCACCTCTCCTCCTCTTGGCTGGGTCACCCTGGGGATGATAGAGCCTGGGTGAGGGGCTGAGCCCTGCAGCCCCCAGCTCCCCAAAGCTGAGCAGCCGCACATGAGTGCTGCAGGGTTCCATGGGCAGCAAGCTGTCCCCCAGCACTGTCCCCAGCTGGGCAGTGCTCAGCACAAGAGCCATCTCCTCCTGGCCTCGCACGTGCTTCCCACTCACAGCTCCTGCCCACCCCTGCTCACCTGTGGGAATTAATCCCACGGGAACAGCAAATCCTGCTGCTCTTCCCGCCGTGACGTCTCACCACCAGCAAATGCTGCCATGTCCAGGGGAGAGGGGATGCTGCAGCAGCCCTATTCTGCTTATTTCTGCTTATTTCCTGAGCTAAGCAGGGCCACTCTCAGCGGTGGGATCCCACCTCTGCGCACACTTGTCACCTCTGCAGCAGCCCTGCTTTGTGCTCAAGCCCCTGCTGTATGCCCCAGGGTGGGGTGGCCCCATGATTCATGAGGTGGGTGCAGCAGGAGCTCCCCAGCCTGGATTGGATCTCCTTCTTTCAGCCCCCAGTCACCAGCACCAAGACAGCGGGGCAGACCCATGCCAGAGGCCCATCCCACACCCTGGGCACTGAACAGGCTCTGGGCAGTCCAAAGGACCAGCAGTCCCTTCACCTGGGGGGACATGGCAGCATCTGGGACCCACAGCCACCGGGATCACTTTGGTAGTCCCACAAAAACCCTGAACTATTGCCACAGGGAGGCTGTGGGGGCACAGTGACTTGTCCCGAGATAGGGGCAAGACAGGAGCTGCAGCTTCCTGTGCCTCACTGCAAGGTCCTGCTCAGGGATGTGGGGTTGAGCCCAATGGGATGGACAGGGGACAGGACAGGGGCTGCCACTGCGGGCAAGGGCAAACACATTCCCCCACACAGAGGGGCTCTTAGTGGGGGTCACAATGAAAGGCCACCGTGATGGTGACACTGGTGACCTGTAGTCCCTCCAGCCTATTGTGTCAGCTGCAATGCTGGAATGCTGGCTCAGCACTACTGAGACAGCACCGGGACTTCCACAGCAGGACAGGGGGGCACAGCAGGGCTTGGAAAGACGGGACAGAGCAGGATCAGGGCAATCCTCTTTTGAACCTGTGCCCATTCTCCTTTCCCAGACCAGACAACTGTGATTTGGCTGGAAACAGCCTGTCCCCAGGGTGGTAGCCAACAACTTCCCAGGGAGCCAGGTACTTCTGCCCAAAATCCTGCCCCATGGGCCCTGTTTCTAGCCCAGGTCCCTCTGTGTCACCCCTGCCTGAACCAAGGCCTTGGGGCAAGGAGCTGGGTACCTGTCCCAGCTGGCTCAGGCAAGCACCTGGCAGCGCCCGCTGCCTCTGGAGAGGCTGTGGGTGCAGCAGCCCTGTGCCAGCCCCGAGCCCTGCGCCCGCCACAGCCAGAGCCATCACAACGGAGTGCGGGGCAGCCAGGGCTGGGGGCTGGGGAGAAAGCTCGCAGCTTGGTCGAGGCTTTGCACAAGGCTGAACACAGACCTGGGAGCATTCTTGGAGTACAAAGGTGCATGGGAAACCTCGGCCTCGGTGAGAGATCAGCCTGATAAGAGGAGTTACGAGCCTGAGAAATGTGCTGATTGCAGGGCACTGAAGATGCCTGGTTATCTTTTCCTCCTCGATAAGGCAGATAAGCAAAGGACAAAGGACCTGGGATTGTGCAACCTGGGCTGCAGCACCCTGGCCGTGATCTTAAGATGTTCCCAGGGTGGAGGAGGGAGGATGAGCTCAAGCAAGAGGCAGCTCCAGCTGCTCTGATCTCCCCGTGCCGCTGTGAAGAGAACCCTGCCAGCCCCTGTAGCCAGTGCTGGGCAGGAGCACGCAGTGGTCCCTGGCTCTGAAGGGCCCCCAGCTTCTTCTGGGGCACAGTGCCCCTGTCAGCAGGCACAGCAGAGCTCTGCAAACCAGCACACACAACAATATCACCGGGTCCCAGCCCTGCCCTGCTTTTCCATATGAGCAAGTGAATTCCACTGAAGAGTGAAAGCTGGCAGAGCACGACCCAGCTGAGCCTGGGAGGTGTTTCTGGCTGGTCTCACCACTGTAGCCCCCGGTCCCAGCCCTACCCTGCTTGGACACGTGAAGATGCTCCTGTTATTCTGTTGCATCCTGGAGAAGAGAGAGCCTAAATGCACGGGGTGGCTGAAGGGGGCAGGGGATTCCCTGGATCCAGGGATGCAACCCCTGGGGAACTCATCCCCTCCCATGCAGAAGTATTCAGAGCAGCCCAAGACAATGGGGGTGCCTTGGCCCCACAAACGGAGTTTGGTACAAAGCAGTGAGGATCCATGGGTGCAAGAACACTTCTGGGACAGCACAAGGATCTATCTCACACCTTTCCCAAGGCAAGGAAACAAGTGTGACGCTCACAGCAAAGCCAAATACTGTAGATCAGGGAAGCCTTCAGCCGTAGGGTTTGGGCATGTAGGAGGCTCTTCCTGCCGTCCATCAGAGCTCCTGGCTAAGGGGAGTGGGTCCCACCAGCCCATGCACTCAGCTGCCCCAGTGTGGTGGCTGTAGAACAGGGACTGTCCTGCTGCCACCCCAGCCCTCCCCACACTGTGGCCTGCACCTCTTCCTCCCGCCTGCCTTGAGCCATCTCTGCTGGCTTTTCCCCAGGCTTGGGATGGAGCCGAGGGCTGAGAAGGGAAAGAAACCCCAAGTCACTTCTCAGGCTGGCAGGGGCAAGGTGGGTGCCCCAGCTGCCCGATGCCATCCTGCCACGCAGTGCAGGGACACTCCGGCTGCTCCTCCAGCCACCGCTGGGGCCATCGGGGACTTATCCTGCACCTCTGTCCAGAGCCCCAGCGCTGGCAGCTGGGCAGGGAGGGTGCCCACCCAGCATGGGAGTGGAGGCTGCACCCTGCCTGGTCAGCACCACAGACCCAAGGGCATCGGGATCCATTGTTTTCATCTTTTGCAGCACATTTTAGATGTGAGGGGAGATTTTGCAATTAAATTTGCCTCCTCTGTTTGGCAGCTCCCAACCCGATGGAATGTGCTACATCCTCGCCTTTCCCAGAGACCAGATTTCATCTGGCAGAGCACCCACCGAGCTCTGGGGCCCCATGCCAGCTGGTTTTACTGCACTGACTAAGCAAGAGTTCCCCATACCAGACGAGAGCCTGTGACACAGCCCATTCCCCTGGGTCACTTGGGAGCCACAATCTGTCACTACCTCCAGTGAGGACTTGCCTGTGCCCCCTGGTGACCCCAGAGCCCTGCTCCCCTCTCTGCCCCTCTCTGCCCCAAGCACCTGAGCTGCTCAGAGCATCCCACTGGGAAATCACAGGGCAAAGCTGTTTGGGCTTGAAACTATTTGCAGCAAAATTTGCAGACGTATTTGTCAAAACCCTCATGCAGGAAAAAATGTGGCTGTGTCAAGGATTATGTTCCCTAAAACCTATGAAAGTCCTAGCTCCAAGTAAGAGTGAGCTATTACAGGATGAATAATTGGCCTTTCATCACTTTGAAGCCCTGCTATAAAAATCCAGGAACCAAATTAAGCAGCACTGGCTACAGCTGGACCCCAGGACTTGGGAGCACCTGGGCCAGACACAGACTTGTGCTGAGAAGTGGTCCTGAAGGATCTGTCCCCATCACCCATCTGCCCCAGCAGCCACCAGCTCCTCCCTGGAGAGGTGAGGCCCCCCATGGCAGGAGGTTCCCTCCTTGCCTGGAAGCAGGAACAGGGAAAAGGCATTTTCTTGCCAAGCAGCAGCACCTGGCCATGGTCTGGGCCATGCACAGGGGTGTGACAGGAACAACATGGCCTGGGCTGGAGTCATGGGACAGGGGACAGCCCTGGTGTAGGGCTGTGGGTGCTGAACATACCCATGCCATGTGTTGGGCCATGACAAGGGCAGAGCAGGTCCTGCCACCAACTTCTTCAGCAGGAAAATATAAAGGAAATCAGGGAACAGGTGAGATCTTTCTTATTGACCCACTTCTGTGGCTGCCCAGCCTGTTCCAATGCCACCACTGTCCCCATTAAGCGTTGACAGAACACTGTCAGCACACTCTTCCTACTTGTCTTCCTGAATATCTGACCCAAGGTGGGACATTTTGGGGCAACCTAGTTAAGCTCACACTTGCAATCTCTGCTTGCAATCCCTGCAGCTCCTAGCAAAATGCAAACAGAAATGGAACCCCCAGGATGGGGCCAGGGCCCTGGGTCACAGGGGACTCTGCTGGCAAGTCTCCAGCCCTGCTGTGCCCACCAGTCTGGCAATCACAGCTTCTGTCTCATGTCTCCACCAACCCTCTGGGGATGCTGTGGCACCTTTGGCCACTGCAGGGGTCCCACCTGCTCCTTCCCCATGAGCCCCCCAGGGACATGGGGGACCCAGCAGGAGACTGCACGGCCCGATGGGGACACGGGGTGTTGCAGATGGAGTGTAAAGAGTAGAGCAAGGTGGTCCCTGAAAGAGTCTGTGCGGGGGAGCCACGGTGCTGTGTTAGACCCTCCCAGCTCCATCAACCTCATCCCGAAGGGGGAAGGGGAAACGGCTCCCTCTGAACACAAACCACAGCATTTCTATTTCCCATACTCTGAAACTGGCTGAACTGGCCCGTCTGGTTGCTGGGTACACACGCAGAGAGTGCCCTCACCAGAGAAACCGCTGGGGAGGATGTCCCGGCCTCTGGGGAAGAACAGCACTCCCAGGCTGCCAGCACCATGGGAAAAGCCTCCCCACCACGTTCCTCACCCCCAGAGCCACACGTGCAGCTCCCAGCAAAGCCACAGCCGGCCAGGAGCGCCCAGCAGCTGCCACTTCCCTCTGCTCCCTGCCGTCAGCAGACAGGGAAGTGATGCACCAAAGGGCGGGGGCAGAGCCCGGGCTGGGTTGGAGCAGCAACAGGGGCACATCCCCGTTCTGGTGTGCCTGCCATGGGTGTCGTTTGCCACCAAAATGTGTTTCCCTGTGGGGAGGAGTGTGTGGGTCAATGCAGTTTGGAGTATGGAGGAGCCTTCTCTCCCCCGAGCCCGCTGGAGCCTGGCTGGGCAGGCGGCACTGACTCACCTCCCTGCAGCCTGACCTAATTCAAGAGGCACTGGGCAGGTGAGGAAGGCACTGGGCAGGTGAGGAAGGCACTGTGAGCAGCTCCAGCCATGAGGCATTTCACCACCCAAGCTGAGTTTTTCACGTTCAGGTGATGAAGGCCTCAGGCTGTCACTTGAGCTACTGCTGGCATGTCACCAACTCCCCGGGCTGGGCAATCCCAAGCACGACCCTGTGCCTTGCAGGGCAGGACAGGGCAGCCAGGGCAGACATAAACCGGACCTGAAAGAGCTCTGTGGGTCTGCACCTTGTGGCAGGTTGATGGCAGGGCACTCCAATCCCCCTCTGAGAAACCCCCAGGCCCAGGGGGATGGTCCCGCTCTGTCCAGGGCAGTGAGTCCCAGGGAAGGAGCACCCACCCACTCACCTGCACTGTGCTCCCCTGACACTTGTCTGCTGCTCTCCACCAGCTGCTTCATACTCTCCCGTGAGACCTTCAGGTACTTGTTGCAATTGCACACCTGAGAGAAGAGAGAGGGGAAGGTCAGTGAGATGGCCATCGTGCTCCCTGGGCACCTCCTGCCTGCCCAGGGCACAAACCCATGCTGGGCACCCCGGCACAGGCTGGGCAGTCCCCATCACATGCACCACAGCAGGGAAACCAGGGCAAGGCCCGTCCCACTGAGCAGGGACAGGCACAAGCACCAGCCACAAGCCCAAGAACCCCCTCCAGAGGTGCTCCCTCTGTGTGTGCTCAGCCACGTGTCCAGCCAGGCTGCCAGTGCTGCTGCCCACCCTGGCTCCCCGGCCAGAACACACCAGCAACGAGGCTGCCTTAAAGCATCAAGCAGACACGCAAAGTCTCGGCTGTGGCTTCAAGATTTGATCTCTCTTTTCTGACAGAGGCTGGGGATGATGGCTGAACAAAACACTCTGGGCTCTCATTTGGCTCTGCTTGGCTTGTCTCTGCTGCAGCATTGTCAACACTGAGTCACACTTTCTACCCCACCTTTTGTTTGCCAAAATGTACCCAGACAGGTCTCTGAGTGCCCACATGTGCCAGGTGCTGGACCCCAAAGAGCTCCCTAAATCTTGCTGCTGATGAGCTCCCAGGGATGGTGCCTGGGGCTAAGCACAGGGTGCAGCTGGCAGCCAAACACACTTGCCCAGAGTGAGCAGCACTAAAGCTCCCTGGGAGCACTGCAGGCTCCCTGACACCTTCCCTCTCCTCTCCCCTCCATCCTGGGCCGGGAGCTGGTTGTTGGGATGTGCCACAACACCTTTTGTCAGCTGCTTGTTTTTAGAGGCTGTTTTCTGCACACTGCACCCAAGGCAAGGAGGGAGAGAGGTGAGCAACTTCACTAACCAGAACAAGTCAGTTCCCTGCCAGGGGCTTTGCTCCAGAGCCTGTTGAAACCAGAAAGGTTTTTCCAGCTCCCAGCCAGGCCCTGGTGCGGGCTGGCAGGCACTCTGCTGGTTTGGGGCTGGAGCAGTGCTGGGCTCATGGCACGGGGCAGTGATGGCCCTGCTCCCACACAGCTGCCTGCAGGAGGAATGGGGCAGGGTGATTTGTTTGGAAATGAGCTTGCCACCATGTCCTGGCTCTGCCTTGCAGCACGAGGTGATTCCCACTGGCAGCGTCCACAAAACCAGCACACACTCCCCGTCTATCCCCATCCCAGCACACATCCCCCAGCCTTTTGGCCAGAAAGACACCTGGGCTTAGTTCCCTGAGGCCCCACTTCTCCAGCCCTGCAGAGCAGCAGCATGGTCAGACAGACAGAGATGGACAAGGGGTGATCTTGGAAGCACCCAAATGACATGGAAAACACTACATCGCTTTTAAAAGGGGATTTTGCGGCAATCCTCTGACTTGCACAGCAGCATTGGGGAACAACCTGTCGAGCAACTGGGGACAGAGCCCTGCACTGCTCCTTGCTCATGCTGGGGACAAGATGAGAGCATTGATATAACGGAGGGCTGAGCATGTCCCCCTGCCCTGAGCAGGGCAAAGCCCTCCTTGGTCTCACCCTCAAACCCAGGGACCAGGGAAATGCATCTGTGTGAAAGCCCAGGGAAGCAGAATGATGCTGTGATTTGTGGGAACACGAATTTCTGCAGAGTCTGACCAGACATTGGACAGTCCCTTTGAGGCCTGAGGACATCCCAGCTTGCACAGGCTGGACCTAGAGCCGAGATGCCACCCCCAACAGGCACCCACACCCTCACAGGGATCTGTGGGATTGCAGCAGGCAGGCAGAAGGGACGGGCAGCTGCTGGGAACATGTGCTGGTCCCACTCCCCATGATGGTGACAATGGGCTGCATGCTGGAGAGGGACGTGGAGCCTGGAGGGGTGGGGGATGGTACCTCTTGGGCATGGTGGCAGCACTGGAGAGTCAGAGGTTTCCAGGAAGCTCCCAGACCAGCTGTCCATTGAACTGCCAGCCAGGAGGGCGCAGCAGGGCCCAAGGACACCCTCCTCCCCTGCCCTCCCTAGTGGCATGGACATGCAGGGGCTCCTCTGCCCTCTGTCACACACCAGATCCCCCAGGATGCCTAACCCTGGCAGCTTGGAGCCCACCAGCTTCTCGAGCAGCAGTACGAGCACGCTGGGCACAGGCTTCTTGTCCCGCTTGGGTGCACAGAGCGACCTTGCATGAATTTCTCTGCTTCTCTAAAATTCATGACTGCTGTGAATTAGGGGCAGTTCACTCCCTGAGCCAGGAATGCCCAGCAGCACAGGGGTATCCTGGCATTCCACACTCTCTGAGGCTGCTGGGTGCTGCCAAGAGGCTCTTTGCCCTATGCCACCCCATAGCCTCTGGGCCTTCACCACCTTCAGCTTCCCAAAAATAGAGTACGAGCTCAGGAGCCAGATAAGACACTTAAGCAGCAGCGCCAATTAGCTGTAATAAAAAAATTGCAATTAAATTTTTTTAATGCCTTGCCAAAATGAGCCAAAAGAGACGAAGTGAGTGGGGAAGGCTGCCACTTCCACAGGCTGGGCTGCACAGCTGCTTTGCAGGGACCAGTGGTGGCCTCAGGCTTGATGTTTGGCTCCTGGGGTTGTGGAACAGTTTTTTGTGTGGATCTTTTGTGTATAGGGTAGGGAAGCGGGAAGCCTCTCTGCTGGAGAAGGGATGATTTTTTCTTCTCAGAAAAGTTTGGTTTCTACACACCCATCATGGGAGGATTAGTTGTGGCCCCAAAAATCTTCATGAGATGAATCAGCAGGAGATGGTGGCACCTTGGAACACTGCCTGGGGTGCAACTGCTGTGAGCAGCGGCCATGACCTGACAGAGAAGGGTTTGGCATCTCTGTCACATCTCGGGGTCCCCCCAGCCCCTGTGCCAGGCTCGGGGTGGGGGTGGCAGCTTCTGCTCACGCCCCAGTCCTGCCTGGGGGCTGATGTGCCGGGCGGGCTGAATGCAGGGCCTCCTGCCTGGCCTCAGAGATGAGGAAAGGGCAGAGTCCAGCTTGGGAGGAGGGGACTGGGGGGTTGCAGCTGCCACAGGCTCCTGAGTGCCACCCCGTGCGGTGACACTGGTGTCCCTGTGCACAGCAGGGCGCCCGGTGCCCCGGGGCGGCGGGGGCAGGGCAGCAGCGGGCACACCTCGGAGGAGGAGCAGCCCTGCCTTTCTCACGCTGGGGCAGCCCGTGCCAGCACATGCTTAGTCACTGGTAAATCCCAGCCGAGATCTGCTCTGCCCTCTGTGAAATGGATCTTGGCTGCACCCCCGCTGAAGCAATCCCGGCGCTCGGGAGCCATGGCGGGCGCGCTTTCCCACGGCAGCCCGGCCCCCGGCTGCCCGTGTGAATCAGCCCGGCCCGCTGCCCCTGCTCGGCGCACGGCAGCGCGGCCGACCGGCGTGTCCCTGCTGCGAGGCGCTCGGCAGCGGGGGTGATGGAGCTGCTGCTGCGGAATTCAGGCTCCCTGCCTGGCCCGGGGGACACGATGCGACACCTCCCCTGCGTGCCCCGGCTCTGCTGCCGCATCCGTGGCAAGGACGAGGAGCAGGTGCAGCTCAGAGGAAGCCGCGGTCCCCGCTGCATCCCCTCACCGTTGTCCCCTCTCCCTGTGCCCGTCTGTGCATCGTGGCAAGGTGCTGCACCTCGTGTAGGGCACTGTCACTCCCACACCCGTGTGCTCCTCCCCAGGACCTCAGGCCAGCATCCAGGGGGGCACTGCAGCCCAGCCAGCTCTGTAGGCTGGCCTTCTAACCAGGGGATTAGAAGGAGTGATGCCATTGCACTGAGACTGTGGTGTTATCGCTGGTGTGGATCTGTGGTCCCTGAGCCCGGTGAGGTGCTTGTCCCCAGCCCCAGTAGCTTGAGCCCCCCTGCACTGAGGCTCTCCCTGCCTGGGGCACCAAGAAGGACAAGGCAGGTGAAACGTCCTTTTGCAATGCTGGCAGCCCAGCTGGCGCCCTGTTTTTGTTTAGGATGATCCCTGCCTCTCCCAGCCCTCCTGGCTGGGGATTTCAGCAGCAGTGACGCATGAACCTCCCAGGACTCGAGCAACTGGATGCTTGAGCCTGGAGCTCCAGGGCCATCTCAGCATCCCATCCTCTTTCTGCACCTCCACCCATGGAGCTGAGAAGCTGAAAGAAAACTCAAGTTCAGCAGATAACAGGAGCCAAACCTTCGGCGACTCCAAAAGGGCTGCAGAAGTCAGTGTGAGCTTGGCTAAGGCTGGCAGCATGAGCTCAGGTGGACGTAGGCTGGTACCCAAAACACCTGGAAAATGAGCAGTTCAGACAGCACTAGAGTCAGTTTTGCTCCTTCCTTCCTAAAAGCTGCATCTCCAAAGTGCTTTGAGTTACCTTGGTGATGCTGACCTCTGCCCAGAGGAGCCACCCTGGAACAGCCTCTGGGCCTTAGGGCTCCTTCCACCTGCTCTGCTGACAAACGTCACAGGCCAACGTCACTGAGGGATCTCCTTGGCAGGGGTTTTACCAGTGAGAGCTCTCTGCCTGGAGAGCTCCTGGCTTGGGAAATCCTCAGTGTAAAGGATCCAGCCTGCTGTAAAGGAAAACAGTGCCCGGTGTGAACTCTTTGGGGCAATTCAGGGCAGCTCATGTCAGGGCAATTCCTTGGGTGTCTTCTGCTCCCTGTGTCATGGAACTACTCAACAGCCACCTGCAGTGATATCTCTTTTCCTACTCACCACCTACCCTCTCCTCTTTCTCCCTCTCTCCAAGATGGCTATCACCTGGTGAAAGGGCTACTCCTCCAGACGGAGGTTGCAACTCTCCCTTTGGTTGTGAAAGCACAGCCCTTGAGAATCCAGGAGTTTCTTTCAGGGACTTATCGAGAGTTGAAACCTCCCCAGATTGCAGGATGCCCCAGGCTCGGCACAGGCTGCCCTCTATTACCTCCAAGGCCGGGAATTATGGATCTGCCTCCGCACACCTCCTGCCTACAACCCAAAGCAGAGTGCCCAGCAAGGTGGGAGATGGTGGGAAGGGCAGTGAAAGAAAACCAGGTAACAACCCAGCAGAAGTGAAGCAGAGGTCAG